CCCTCGTCGCTAATGTTGCTCCACCTTTCGCAGCATGCTCCTTGTCTCCTCTTTGTCTCTTTTTCTTTTTCTATGATTTTTAGTATATCGGTAACAAAATGCCAGTAGCACAATAGTCTACCACCGATAGTATGACGGAATACTACAGGTAACACGGTAGCAAGAGGAACTTCCGGTAACATGACAGATAACCTTTACTATTACGGCAAACTAGCTGTATCATGGCAAGGTACTATTAGTAACCTGGTAGCTACCATCGACACAGACGTTAGTGGTGGTTTAGGTCTGTAACGTGAAATGATATTGCCACGGATATCTTTATATTTTGAAATTTGTTAGCGTGAATTTTATGCAAAATTCTATTTTCCAAGATAATTTACAGCCAAAATGATAGATACTTGTCTTAAGTGCCTTATTATTTTTCTCCTTTTATGTTGCTCAAGGTCCAAACGTGGATTGTCCATCATTGAAAAAGTTTCGGAAATAGTAGAAAATATGCCAATATGAAAAGCTTAAGAAAGTATACGGGCCAAATTTTAGTTATAGAAATTAATAGGCCATAATTTGTCAAGTTATGGTTCATAACCAGATAAGTTATGGACAAACTTGTCAAGTTATGGTTCATAGCCAGACAACTTATGGACAAAAACTGTGAATTAATAGGCCATAACTTGTCAAGTTATGGTTCATAACCAAACAAGTTATGGACGAAAACAGTAATTTGGCCTATTTATTAACTTACGTAAACTATTAGCCTATTAATTTTAATTCATCTCAAGTCTTGGTCTATTTCTCTCTTTCTCCCTTGAAGTTTTAAAGAGCTATATTTGATGGTAACAATAACTCAAGGACCAAATGTTATTTATTTGCTGGAATATAGGACCAAATCTAAAATTGAGCATGACGAATTAATTAGGAATATAGAATTATGATCCTATGGGTTTATATATTAACAAACAATAACGCGTATTTTTTGTATGGATTGTATACATGTTGTTGCCATACAGCCATGGGTGAAATAATGAGAATATGCGAGTTCTATAGCGTGACATGGCATGGAAGGTGCAGATTATCTCGTCATTGTAACGAGAGTTGCAGAAGAGAAGAAAATTATCAAGGAGGAGAATGCAAACATGGCAAATGCATCTGCAACAACTGCAACCTTTGATTAATGAAAAACTGTGTTATTTGAACATTTAGTCACTTAATGTTTTATTTTGTAGTTTCAATACATAGTTCCGCTTCTTTACATTAGCAAGTGCTATGCTTGTAAATTTCCCTGGTTCCTTAATTACATGGACAACTAGCTAAAGCTAGGTTTATATATTCTGGCGCTGTTAATCTGTACACATTTAGTATTGTGATATTTTAGTTCTTAATTATTATAATTTTTGGTCCTTAGACCCTAAAGTTAATTAATGGTGAGCTTTTAAAATTTAAAATATGTAATGACACACTCATTATGTTATATCTCCATGTTTTACAATAGTAGTTTCGTACGTAAATCTCCCTTTTTGCCCTTGAAAATCAAAACATTTGTATCTTTTATGATTGCTTCCGTAAAATTTAACTAACACGTGCGATTATCTACGTTAAATTTAGAATTTTGATGCCGAATTCGTGAATTAGAAATAAATTTAAGGATTATATCTAAACTTAAACATAAGTTCAGGAACCAAATCATTATACTAATAATTTAGAGACCAACAACACAAATTAAAAAAAATATATATATATATATATATCATCAAATTAAACAAAGTTAATAAATTAGCTTTCCAGTGATATTAAGGGAAAAAAAAAATCTAAACGTGAAACTAATGATTTACGAAGAGACGTCCCCATGAACTTCTAGCAGCTAGATGTCCCGTCATCTATGCATATGGCAAAAGGGCAAAAGGGCAAAAGGGGAAAAGGCGTAACACGTACCTATTTATATGATTAACTCAATATTATTACTTTTAAGGAAATTGCTGAGAAATGGAACATGTGTTGGTCTTCTTGATCCTTCACTCTCCAATAATAACGAATCTTTAAATTACTCATCTAAAAGCAAAATGTTTGAATGCTTCTGTGATATTGTACTTCAAAACTAACCTGTCTGACCATTGCAGAGCAGATCCTTTTCTTATAATTTACCATATTGTTGCCAAATGGAGTATCCAAAACTTACTTGAAGACCCATTAACAAGATATATACATACATATACATACATATACATATACATATATATATATATATATGTGTGGGTGTGTGTGTCGAAATAGCAAGCATATATCGTTATTCATTTTCACAAAAGAGAGGAAAACCATGTTTAAGATTTCAAAATCAAGCCTTCGCCTCTTTGCGTTGTTCATCATTTTCATCCTTGCAAATCATGCAAGTAAGCTAATTTTATTTTCCCTCTCTCATATATATATGGAGAGATTAGAATTTATTCTAATTTATTTTCCCCCAGCTTCCAAACGCATATTTTTCTACAAGTACCGTTTATGTTTGAAGGCATGCATTAGATTTAGAAACATCTTTCTGACCATCATTAATTCTTCACTATATAGTTGATTATTTAACAATAATGTTGAGATATATAGGTGGTGAACATCTTCTTGAATGCGAGTTTTATAGTACAACATGGCACGGCAGATGTAGAAGGTCATCCAATTGTGACAATAAATGCAAAATATATAATAGAACACGCTCATGAAGGAGAGTGCAGATGTGGTGTTAGTTTACCAATCCATCCTAAAAGCTTAAGTTGTTAAGAGGTGGACCAACAATAGTTTAATACTTTAACACTCATCCTCACGTGTGGGCTGGACAATGGGCAATGGTGTGGGTAAATTAATTGGAAAGCCCAGCACGTGAATATTTAAGCCTGAGATATATTAAATATCCAACACATGATGACAACATTAAATGGAGATAAAGAGTGCAATTACGAGGATTTGAACTCAGGACCTCCCGCTCTGATACCATGTTAGTTTACAATATTAAATGGAGATAAAGAGTGCAATTTCTCGAAACTGCCTTTTGATGTCCATAATATTATTCAGAAACTCTATTTTATTTATTGGAATGTTTTTTATGGGTTTTTCTTTTAATTCTGTTTTGTTCAGGCACATATGTAAACATGATTACTTATAAGTTGCATTATATGTAACTAATTTATATCCTTGCAGTTAGATCCTGGGTACCATGGCAGCTGTTTTAAATCTAACCATGATATTGATGACTTACAATTAGGTGGAAAACTGAAACCCGAGTAGATTTACTCCTTCATTTTAAAAAATTAAAAAAAAAATGAGAGAGTAACTGATAATAGAAAAAGCTTAGTACATCCAATTAAGTTGGCGCATTTCATTCGAGAACCCATTCTAATTTATTAATAGGAAAAAACAATTTCTATTATATATATATATATGAGGCATATATGTAAGTTGGCGCATTTCATTCGAGAACCCATTCTAATTTATTAATAGGAAAAACAATTTCTATTATATATATATATATGAGGCATATATGTATTTGTACTAATTCAAGCAATGCATATCGTTTGGTAATGGTAAGGATAATAATTTGACAAACGTAAAAAGCTGAAGAGAAATTACAATGCAAGTTGAAAGTTCGACTTCTTATTTGAAAAAGGGCAACAGCGGAAAAAAGAAAACCATTTGCAACCTCATGGTCACATCCTTTCTTCATTAATTAGCACAAGAGGATCCCGCTTCCAACAATTAAAAAAAAAAAATAGTAATAATAAAAGAAAAAACACGTAAACAGATCCCCGCTCTAGCTCGTTTAGAACTAGCTAGGCGGCGTTGGTGGCGGTGTGGATGGCGGCGGCGGTGGTGGCTGGCTTGGCGGCGGCGGCATTTGGAAGAAACCGATCTTGGGCGGAGTAGGACCACCAACCATATGAACAGGCCTGTTGGGGATAGGAGAACTAGGCCTTATAATTGGAGTAGCCCCAAATCTCCTGCCTAAGTTTGCCTCTAATATGTGATGAGGAGAGAAATCAGTATGCCCAGTAACTTCAATTGTATCCACTGCATGACTATATAAGTAGCTTCCCATATTGCTGTTTTGTGTCACCAAAACAACAACTAGCAGTACCAGAAGCAAACAATATGATGGAGCAATGTCCATGATTATTAATATTACTTTACACCCGCTCAAATATCACACAGCTATATATATAACTATTTTTATATATGTGTGTAACAATTCTTGTATAAATATACAGGAAGAGAGTCCGATTCGTGAGCTCATTTGTCTCCTAAAATATGCTTTCTATACCGTTGTTTACTAGTTTTCAACTTCATTAGCTGTTATCAACTGACTATATATAATATAATATATATCTTGGACTCTTCGCTTGAGGAGTCAAAGTCAACTCGAAGTTATCACTTACTGTAAGAGAGGAAATAGCGAGGAAAGTACAAATTCGGAAACGATGGCTTTTTTAATATAAATAAAGAAAAAACAGCGTATAAGATGCAAGTTTGTAATACTATATGGCAACTTGAGTAAAGGGGTCAAACAATGAGATAACAATTATACAAGTGGGCACAACACCTGCAAAATCTTTCATTTTATATATTTATATATTTATATATTTTTTGTTTATTTTTTTTATATTTCTTTTCTCTAGTCCTGTAAGGGTTGAAACTTGCAAATTTATCAGTGTTTCGACTTCTTCCTACCCATGTGAAGGATCAAAGAAATATTTGAAGCAATAATGAGAGAGAGAGAGAGATTTTATAAACTAATTAATTGTCACACGTACATCGTGAATTGTAGACTGAATATATACATAACTTTGTCATATGACAAAAACACCCACATATTACATACTTAGAAATACATCACAGCCTGCTTTTATTCAACAAATTTGCGATATACTCTCATATGCAAATTATAAGTACTAAAAAAAAAAACATAGATGATGAAACTAATCGATGAGAAATTTATGCCCAAATTGATGTTACAATTGCCATTCTCATGACGAATAAGGTGACTGTGGAGGTGGAGGCGGAGTTGGCGGCGGTGGTGGGGAGAAGTGAATGGGTCTATTGGGTTGTGGGGGCGGCGGAGGTGGTGCTCTACGGCGGTGCATAATTGCCGCCACCCTTAATGTGTTGGAGAACGTGAACGGTGAATTTTTCTCCACGGGAGGCTGAGAATCAACTTCTGAGCTGGCTTTAACCATGTAATGAGTTGTAGAAGCATGTGGTAGTAGGACTAGGAGTGCATAAATCAAAAGCAAAGTTAATAAGTATGAATTTGCACCCATTGTGCACCTTACTTAACTTGAGTTCAGATATCTTGTTTGTATAAATGATGGTTTGTGAGGTTATATATATACACATATATTATAAATGTATAATTGTCTCTATGGTGTGTAAATAAAACGGCCACTTGGTCATATGATTAAGGTTTTAATAATTGAAGGTTTGTGATGTTTCCAATGGTATGTAAAAACACAACTTGATTAAAATTTATTAATATTATAGTCATTAGGTGCGACAAAGTACAAGAAACAGGAAACGTCGTATAGAGGATAGAATCAGTCATGGATGAGAGAAGACTTTGACTGGTCAATTTAACGTATATATACACAGGCACATACACATATGTGCTGTGTGTGTCTGTGATATACACGTGTAAAGCTGTCATTTATTTCCAGAAACGACATTCCTTTTTATCTTCCTCACTTGTGTTTTCATTGTCTCATTCCTTTTTACTTTCTATCCCTCTGACTATAAACGATAATAAAAGGGGCAAACACAACGACAAAAAATAATAAACGATGACAAAATGAATAACTTTGCAAAATCAGGAATTTAAATGAATTAGTTTGGCGATGTGTATCATAGATCTCCTCAAATTTGTTTTGGTTGAAACATAAACCATTCTCAATGACAATGGATCTTCAAGCATCATCTCCGTGACCAAATAAGCAGCAACTGTCCAAGATGGCCTACTTATGAATCAGGCTGTTAAACTCGTCCAAGACTTCGTCCGGCTACCCATGCTTTACCTTTTTTACTAAAACAAGATAAGGACGCGACGGAGAGTTTGTTGAATAAGTATTGAAACACCATCATGCCTTAAGCTTTAGTCATGAGAAGTTACGTTTTTGCTAGCTAGGTTGATTGTTTTAATCGTCGCAAATTATACGAGTAAGCTAACTTATTGCGTCTGGTCTTCCATAGAGGGGTTTTATTTATTTATTTTTTTCCTCGATCGTATTCCTCCAGTTGCTTGGTTCAATTGCACATCATTTTGACATTTTCTGTATATCTATTATTATAATATTTGAAGAATCATCTTATATCTAAAAGAAAAAAATTACTAAAAAACTTCTCTGTATTTTGTTTGAAAACAAAAAATAATTTTTCTGATAAGACTAATTGGAAAATGCTTGGTTCTTTGTGATTGTGGAATCGTGAGCTTTGGTGGTCTATATATTTTTCATTTCGTTCAATTAGTCTAAAAAGCTGATCACATAATTCTGCCCTGGTTTTTTCTCATAACAGGCACAAAATTACATGAATACGAATGATATGGGGGTAACCTACATAATCATTTTAATTTTTTTCTTTTTAATATCTATGTGAATTTTTGTGATGAAAAGTTTTACATATTTTGTTCGTACGAAAAATTGACATATATAGGTGGAACATTATTGGATTGCGAGTTCTATAGCACAATTTGGCATGGAAGATGTAGATGGTCACCCAATTGTAAGAACAAATGCAGAAAAGAAGGGGCAAGAGAAGGATTATGTGTGCAAGGCAAATGCCTCTGCCGAGACTGCTATTAAACACACAGTTCACTAATTAATTGCTAATTCTTGCAGTCTTTCTTTTAGTTTCTTCATTTTTTTTTTTTTTTTTTGTAATGATAATTTTTGCAGTTTATGTATAAAGTACTAATCAGTGTATAAGTAGTACCGAATGGTGATTTAAACTAGTGCTATTTAATTAAATATCTATTGAAACTAATTAACATGGGAGTTGCTAAGGACCAGTTTGGCATTATTGTACTGTTGAAAATTTTTATTGTTGTTGTTCTGTTGGTCAAAAGTTGGTGTAAGCAGAAGCATGTAGGTGTTGGATAAATTTTTTTTCGAAGTTGCTGTAAATTTTTTTCGAAGTTGCTGTGAATTTCTTTCAAAATTTGGCATTCTTGTGTTGTTGAAAACTATGTACAAAATTATTGTAATAATTTATAATAACTAAAATAAACATATTTTAACACACATACTTATAATTAGTTTTATTTTTATTTTTATAGTCAATATTCATAATAGTTATACACCAAAATACTACAAAAATATATATAATTTTCATTTTGTTATTTATTGAAAGTCCGGCCGGATCCTCTACTCAACTACTATACATTTTGTATTTGGAAACAACAGTGGCATACAAAAATCGCCGAAAAAGAAAAATGGAAACGAAAGAAACAATGACATCAGAACGAAAAACGCCAATAAACTTGGAAAAGGTATGACACATATAAAAGAAATACAAGAAGAGTAAGAAAATGACAATAGAGATTAACCTTTACAATCGTGGATGGAACAGTAATATCCTTTCTTTTTTCTTTTCTTTTGGCTAAGAAAATGAGATCTTTTTTTTTTTTTTTTTCTGAAATTGACACTCACCATGACCAGAATCATTAGAAATCAAAGAGTTGAACTGTAAAGGGTAGATAAGACACAAAAGAGCCATGGAAGTTTTACGTAATATTAAGATGTTGATGGTGGCGAAGACGAAGACGGAGGCAGTTCGGAGATGACGGTGGTGATTACAATGGCGGTGAAGGCGGAGGAGGTGACCGTCGCGGTGGCGGAGGACTGAAATAAACGGTGGGACTACGCCGTGGAGGTGGAGGTGGAGATACACGCCTACCTCTACGTACTACTACTCTTGACATTGAAGAAGGGAAAACATCTTCTTTAGTCTCGTCCCCATAACTAAAAACAGGAGCTGCTAGCATTAGGCTTAAAACTAGTAATGGAAACAGAGAATATGGAACTTTAACACCCATATTTTTTTGGTGTGCGTGTATATATGCCTTAGGGTGCTTAAATTGTAAGCTTTATATATAGATGTAACGTTTTTCAATGGCTGGTTTGTGGCCAATATTGTATTATTTATTAAGCCGAGTATATAGGTCAAATGCTTTGCAGGAAACCGTGTTATGTTAAGCAGCACATAGAAATATCATTGAAAAAAGACAAGTTGCATGCTAAGTGCCAAGCTTAGAAAAAGAGAAGTCAACGAGAGTAGGTGTGGAATGAGAGAGAGAGTCGAATAAAGATGGGTGTTGATTACTATGTATACACATATTATGAGCCCGTTTAGTTTTTAAATTTTTAATTTGAGTTGAAATTTAATTTTATGTGATAATTTTTTACTCTAATAAAAAAATTAGATGTGATTATTTTTAAAATTTATTTACTGTAATAAAACTCGAATCGGTAAAATAAACGGGACTTAAATATACACATACACACATATTCGGAATACCAACAAAGTCGTACTATTTGGATCTTTAAAGGGTAGTTTATAACTCGGGTATTCGGCATATCACTAAAGAAAAGGATGTCAACTGAAATAAGGTACAATAAGGACGTACATATTAGTATTTCTTAATACATTGGTCAATAATTTACACAAAAAAAAAAAGGTAAACTGATAAGAAACTGAAACAAAGAGCAAAATTAAAATAACAAAAAACAAGAAGCAAAATAAAATAAGATGAAAACGACATCAACGCAGATAAAAGAAGCGACGAGAAACACAAAAACACAAAACAAAGTAAAAACAACATCAAGTAAGATACACAACAGTTAAGGGGTTGTTCTTTTATCGTTTTTGAGTTAGGTAACTTGAGTGTAAATTTTGAGTTGAGTTTGAGTTATAATTTGAGTTGAAGTTGTAACTTAAGTTTGTGTTTGATTGTGTACATTTGAGTTATGGTTTGAGATAAAAATCTTTTTACGTTTGTGTTTGAGTGAGTCAAAACTTGAATTTGTATTTATATAGTATTTTAATAAAAACCCAATGCTGATGAAAAATTTTAATAGGGTATATGGGTGGGGTTTTATTCGTCTTTTCGTTATCAACGCATAGAAAAAAATCATCTTAATCAAAATTAAAATGAAAAAGTTATAGCATTTTTAAGAATAGAAAAAATATTGTTCATTAATTTGAGTTCGAGTTTCTGAACTCGAGTTGAAGGGGAAACTTGAACTCGAGTTTTAGTCTCAAACTCGAGTTCAAACTTAAAAGAATATAAACTTGAATAAAGTTGTAACTCAAGTTACGTTTTTTGAGTTTTTAACTCAAAAAGGGGACTGCCGAACGGCACCTAAGTCAATTTTAATTAACGTTCAAAACATGGCAAAGGCTCATTAAAACAATTGTTTCTACTCATGTACATTTTAATTCCCTTTTGTTGTACTTTTTTGAAGTAGTTTTTTTTTTTTTTCTTTTCTTGTTCCTACTAAATAAATTAGTATGAATGTATTGTTGGGAATAGTGTCCTAGAAGCATGAGATGTAATAGGATATTTATTATTCAATTAATAAAAGAGTTTATTCATCATTTTATGTGCATATATTTATGAATATTTTATGAATATCAAATGAAAATTCTGTGATTGTTTATGTAACCTTAAACATAGTATATAAGTGTTATATACGAGAGGATAATGTTTAAGGATAATAATAAAAAACATTGTTCATCAACAAAGCGGAAAACAACAGGCATAAAATGAATACGAAAAGGAGAACAAATTTTTGAATTAAGACAATAAAGAATAAATAAAACGATGCAAAAAAATGAAAACGACAACGATAGGAAAAAATGGCGACATATGAAGGCTGCAAGATAAACGACAACGAACAACAATCACATAAAGAAACGACATCAAAATAAAAACCACGACTCAACACCCAATCATGAAAGGACAATCACCTACATAAACAACAAGATTAACAAAAATAAAATAAAAATAAAAAATTCAAAGCAAAAATGACATCATGACGGATAAGCAACAACGACGTTGAGTCATGACGAGGTAAATGAAAGGACATAAAAGAATAAACGACATCAAATTGGAAAACGGCGCCAAAATAACCAACGATCAGTCCACATTGCAGAGTGATGACATAAATGAAAGGCCAAAAGGACGAAAACCACAATTATAGATGACAAAGCCAAAACTTGAAATGAAACGACAACCGAATTAAAAACGGAGATAGAGTGAGAAACATCATAAATGAGCGTGAAAACGAGTCACAAAAATAAATACATATATGTATAAGATTTCAATAGTTATATTTTTATCGATGGTTACTTATTAAATATAAAAATTAAATAATGTGTATAATTAAAATAATGATACACATTGATGAGTTAATATTAGAATAACTATTAAAACTACACTCATAAAAATAACGACAAAAAAAAACTCAAGGATAAACGGTAAAAATAAAATAGCAAACAAAAAAGCAATAATAAAAAATAAGACAATGAAATAAAAAATAAGAACAAACAAGAAGAAGAATAAATAAAACATAATAATTCATAAAGAAACAGCAATTTCACCCGAAAAATAATAAAACAAATAGAAGCATGAAAATCATAGGAAAAAAAAAAAAGAAACGACAAGAGCAAAAAACGAGATCACAACAAAAAAGCATCAAGAAGTTGGAAGCGTCAAACCACAAAAGGATAAGAACAAGCGCGAAAAAATAACAATATATCGTTACAATTTAATTTATTTGAGGGAGACACAAATGACGTCCTCATTTCTAAAAAATAGCATTTTCCTAATCAGAAAATTCAGCAACAACCAAATATATAATTCATGATGACTTTTTCAATTAATTAGGCCTAAATATTTACCCACATCAATTGTTTACTTAATGAGGATATAATTATAACGCAATAAAAAGAAAGGGAAAAAAAACCCCGCAATCAAGGTCTATATACCAACATACAGACACAATAACAATAGTTATCCGTTCCAGAAATGCGAAAAAAAAAAAAAAAAAAAAAAAAAAAAGAAGAAGAAGAAAAAAAAAAACAATGAAACAGTCGATGCTTGACAAACCAAACCAAAGGAAGATAACAAATTGAAGAAACGACAGTAACATGAATACAGTAGTAAAGTGAAACAACAATTTTAAAAATGAAACGGCAACAGACTGAAGAGAAAAGAATGAGAAAAATGGGGAAGTCTCCAGTCCGAGTCTATTAAAAGTTTTTTAATGAATTTGGTACTGCACGTGTTAAGCAAATGCTGTATCAGAGAGGCATGGCTTTTATGCGTTTCTTACGGCCGGAGTGATGGCAGAAAGGTGGCAAGTGGGATATGTGAATTTTATTAGGTGAAAGGGTAATAAAGTAATAAATCATCTTTAAAAATAAGAAAAATAGGTCAATATGAAAAGCTTAAGAAAGTATATAGGTCAATTTTTAGTTATAGAAATTAATAAGTCATAACTTATCAAGTTATGGTTTATAACCAGATAAGTTATGGACAAACTTGTCAAGTTATGATTAATAGCCACACAAGTTATGGACAAAAATCGTGAATTATGGACAATAACTTGTTAAGTTATGGTTCATAACCGGACAAGTTATGGACGAAAACAGTAATTTGGCCTATTTATTAACTTATGTAAACTATTGACCTATTAATTTTAATTTATCTCAAGTGTTTGCCTATTTCTCTCTTTTTCCCTTAAAATAACATAAATACGTACCACTACTGAAGGAAACGCGCAACTCCAACGACAATGTATCGTATATTTATACTTTTTAAACATGTATCAATTACTTGAATAAAGTGAACAAATTACGTATTTGTATGTGTACATTATTAGAATTGTATGTTTGGTTATTTTCACAAGTCAAATTTTATTGTTATAGTGTTTTCTCTCATAAAATTTTAAATTTCATTTTTTTATTATAGTATTTTTTTCTCATAAACACAACTCAAGTTCTTAACTTGAGTTGTGAAACAAACACTCTCATAATTGTGCTAGCATTGAAATGTATTGTGGTTTGGTATAATGAGAGTAAACTAACAGTTATAACGGAAATTTCAAATGCAAGTAATATATATCATATATTTCAAATGCATGTAATATATATCATATATTTCAAAGGAATGTAATATATATCATATATTTCAAATGCATGTAATATATATCATATATTTCAAAGGAATGTAATATATATCATATATTTCAAATGCATGTAATATATATCATATATTTCAAAGGAATGTAATATATATCATATATTTCAAATGCATGTAATATATATCATATATTTGAAAGGAATGTAATATATATCAGATTTAGGTAGTAGTTGATGTGTTGGAGTTAGAAGGGAGCACAAGAGAATAGGATAGGTGAACAACACTACTGCACTAGAAGAAGTATATCTAGAAGTATATAGTTTATATGATATATAGAAAGCACAACCGCGATTAGCGTTTTCGACCAAAACAACGTCGTTTTAATTGAAATCCCTCGTCTTTTTTTATAAATCTTTCCTTTTATTTTTCTTTTGCTTTTTACCCTAAAACTTATTTATTTACTCATTTTAACCTTTTTTTTATATATTTTTATCTTGAAACCTTCATTTTCTTTTCTTTTTAGTTTATTTTGTCCTAAAACTTATTTATTTTTTAATATTGGTCCTTTTTTAACCCTTTTTCTTTACTTTTGTCTTGAAACTTTACTTTTTCTTTTGTCTTGATATCTTTTGTCTAAAACTTAAGCATTGTTCACTTTGTGGATTTGAGTTTTCAATTCTAGCTAAAATGTGACATTTTCTGAGAACTTTTAACTGTAGCAAAAAATGTTAGATGTGACATTTTTTAGAGCTTTTAACTGTATAAACTTAGAACTAAAAATTCGAATCAGTGAAATGAATGAGACCTTACTTTTATTTTTTCTTGAAACTCTACATATTTTTTGTCTTGGTTCTTTTTGCCTAAAACTTATTTATTTATTCATTTTAATCCTTTTTTTTTTGACCTTTTTTATATTTTTGTCCTAAAACTTTATTTTCTTCCCGTTTTAGTTTTTTTACCTTAAAACTTATTTATTTTTTCATATTAATCCTTTTTTAACCCCTTTTTTTTTATTTTTACCCTAAAATTTTACTTTCTCTTTCGTTTCGATATCTTTTACCTAAGACGTATTTATTTCTTTTTATTCTTTTTTCCTGAAACTTTACTTTTTTCGTCTTGGTTCCTTTTGTCTAAAATTTATTTATTTCTTTATTTAATCCTTTTTTCACCTTCTTTTATTTTTTGTCCTAAAACTTTATTTTTTTCCGTTTTGATTCATTTTTCTCTAAACTTATTTATTTCTTTATTTTTGTCATTTTTTGCCCCTTTTTTTAATTTTTTTTCCCAAAACTTTACTTTTTTCGTCTTTGTTCCTTTTACATAAAACTTATTTATTTCTTAATTTTAATCATTTTTCCTCGTTTCTTTAAATTTTGTCTTGAAATTTTATTTATTTTGTTTTTGTTGCCTTAGCCCTAAAACTTCTTTATTTCTTCATTTTGATATTTTTTGACCCTTTTTTTAATTTCTTCCCGTTTTAATCCATTTTGCCCTAAAATTTATTTGTTTCTTCATTTTAATCTTTTATATGCCTTTTTTTATTTTTGCCTTGAAACTTTATTTTTCCTCCATTTTGGTCACTTTTACTCTAAAACTTATTTATTTTTTCTTTTTAGTCCTTTTTTTTTTTTTACCTTTTTTAACTTCTTGCTAGGTAGGACAGCCTGGACTCCGACAAATAGGAATAAATATGAAAAAAAAAATATATGCTAAAAAAGCTACAAACGACAATACAAAACTACCACAAGAAAGTGAAAAACGACAATCATATTGAAAACCAAAAAAAAAAAGTGTAGACAAGATTGCAAAAACGTAAGCAAATTAAAAACCACATGGAAGAAGAAGAATAAAGAGAATAATATATATATATATATATATATATTTGGAAATAGATAAAGAGAATAATATGGATTATTGACAAACAAATGAAAGGAGCGATAACACAAACGAAACGACAAGAAAAAACTACAAAGTAAAAAGGAAATCAAGGCAGATACTGAAGGATGGAACCAAGTTGGAAACGACATTAGGATAATATCAACAACGAAAAGTGAAAAACTGAAGGATGAAAGTGACAAAATGAAAAACACATATACAACGAAAAGCATCAACAACGGAAACGTCAAACAGTTCAACACAAAATGGATAACAAGAGTGAAAAAAGGACAATGAAAGGAACAAATAACAAATGGGAAAAGACGGTACCAATAGGAATGGTGAAGAACGGGAAATATCCGTTCATTTCGCCGATTCGAGTTTAAAATTTAAGTTTTATTACAGTAAAAAACTCTCAGAAACAGTCACATCTAACTTTTTTACTATAGTTAAAAACTCACACAAAATCACATCTCAACTCGAATCAGCGAAGTGAACGGGATACACTCAAAATTTAGGGCCCATTTTGTTATTAGGTTTGATCAGAAAATTTAAACAGAAATTCAACAAAAAGATTTGAATTGTGGTTCAAACTTGTAAAATGAACGAGTCCTTAATTTATTTGAGAGGTGCACAGATGACGACTACATAATAGCACTTTCCGAATACAAAATTCAGCAGCAACCAAATAATTCAAACCTCTTTGCAATATATTTGACCTACATATATACCAACAGTAATGTTCACTAACTGTTAATGAGGATACAATACAACACGATGAAAAGAAAGAAACTACAATCAAGCTCTAAACCACTCCAACATACAGACACAATAATAATCGTTATCCATCCCAGGAAAGAAAAAAATTAAATAAATAAATAACATACATTAACCAAACATCCATGGGTTAAAGGTCCATCCTTGAATCTTCTGCGTCATCACAACTTGATCACATGCTGGATATGGTTTATTACAAAGGCCGGTCGTATGAAAAGGTAATGGGAACTCACGATCGGGTCAGTCCTTTCAGCGCCGCAGCGAAAATCTGAAAATTTTAACAATAGATATTCCTGTTCAGAGGAATTGGTATCATATATATCTCTCATTTTTCTACTCAAACTGCTATACAGTGAAGATAAGACCCTACATACCTTAGAAGGTGCCCCAGAATCAGGTCTTGAATCTGCACGAGGAGGTTGAGTGTCCCTACTGCTTCCCTCATGCACAGTCTGATTTACATTACCTTCTTTGTCTGACGTTATATCCCTCGTATCAAATCTTTTACCCAAATCAGGGGACGTGGTTTCATCCTCTTCAGTTAATTTCCTTGTCATCTGTCTTGTCCTTGCCGAATTTGGATTGCTGTTCTGAGTGATTTGGGAATTCTGATCCTTCTTCGAGAACTGTGTAGCTGCGGCTCGAGCACCGGCTATTGCAGCATCGAGATTTGAAGATCTCTGCACTTCAGATCCTTTTGATTTAGGAAAACGTGCACCAATAGATCCAGGCTTCAGGGAAAATGGATCTCGTTGATCCGGAATAGGAAATTTCACTGGCAATGGACCTTCAACTGGTCTGATACCCCTAACGGCAGACTCATATATCTGAAACAGGTGAATAAGTTAGCCCAGTTGAAGAACTAGAATAGGAAAAATCACACACATTCGAACATAGAGTCAATGTTTGCACATTGTTTACCTTCTTCTCCAAGTTATAGATACGTTGGTACCCCCGCATTTCGAATGGGATTAACAATTTCTGCATTAATCGAAGACAAAGAAAGCTTAATCGCATAATATGTACTTTAAATAACAAAAGAAGTCACGGTAGTGTGTAAATATACCTGCGGTTGCTCACAGAGCCAACAAAAATCAGTTTGTGCCTCCAGCCTCACCTGCATTGCGGATAAAGGAGCATTTAACAGAGGCTTGGCAAATAAGATCCTCTTTACAATGTTGGAAAAAAAAAATATATATATATATATATATATATTATCTTACCCCTTCAGGTACCATCTCCCACGCTGCTAGTTCTTCACGTTCAAGACATCCAACCATTTCAACACAACCTGTATTCTCAAAGAAATCATACGAAATTGTTAAAATTTCATCTTCAATAATTGGTGGGGGAGAGGAGAGAGAGTCAACAGAAAGACTCCCAAAATCTCATGGTTATTCTCTCAATTCATCATTCAAGTGAACCTTTATCTCAAAAGCATGGTTTCCTTACACTCTAAAAAGAAGGGGGGAAAAAAAGTATATAGTTTCCCATTTTTTCCCTCTTCAACAGTTTAAGGTGCACATTCAAAATCCCAAAACTGGAAATCTGCACTTATTGTTTCAAATACCCATTCTAGATTCAGATAAAAAAAACAAAACAAAAAACAAAATACCCATTCTAGATAATTGGAGGATAGAAATAGCAAAAAAACACATTACTTATCAAAACACCTCCTCAGTATAATGGCCTAAACGTAACAATTCCTGTGTTTCTAGAAAACGAAACAAGCTAAATTTCTAATAGAACACAAGCCTCACAAACTACCGACAGTAAACAAGATTTAGGATTGCATTTTTTTAATATCAGACTATTTTCCTTCTTCACTTTGCAATACTGATTGGTGTCTGGAAATAAAAAGGGAAAATTCAATGAAATAAACCATCGGAGAAGTATGAACACACTTATCAAATTGAGTACCTAAAAGTCTTGAAACAGGATAATGTTCTGGGAATTGAACATCAGTAATTCCATTCACAGCATAAATTTCCCTGTAGAAGTCCTCCATGGCCTTGATCGTAGCCTCATCAGGAACCTTACTTGCAGCATGAATCCATAAACGGCCTTCAAAAGACAATATAATATCCTTTACATGAGATACACTAATTAGAAGAAAATCTTGCAAAATAATTGCGTTTTAAAATCGTCTAAGTTGTGATTAACAACAGCTTATAAAACTGAGACATATGCAATCACTTATTAGATTATTTAAAACATCAACCAAATAAACCCCAATAGAAGAAAAACTAGAAATATCCAGAATTTGATAAACGACAAGCTTCCTAAACCCAAAAAATGCATACCCCATTTAGTTAAAGAAAGTTTTATTAGCTCGAATTTAAAAACAAAAAACAAAAAAAAAAAAAAAAAAAAAAAAAAAAAAAAAGACCTTTCACAGTAAAAACTCAATTAAAAGTGTATTTCTCCTTGTGGGTATGTCTCAGTTGAAATGCAAACAAAGAATCAACAATTTATCCAAAATTTGAATGCTATAAGTTAAAGAATTAGCGAATCCAATTATCAAACAAAGAAGAAAAAGTGGGTAATTAGAATCAAAAATCAAATATTTTTACCTCTGAAGGGAGCAGGCCAAGACCTTCCCTCAACGCGTTTGATCCCATAAACGAGGAGAGAAGCCCAAGGCTGGTGCATAGTCAAACATGGGTTTGTGTAATTCCCGTACGAATTTCTTCCTCTCATCTCTCTTCTCTTCCACCGAGAAAAAGGCAGGAGCTTGGAGGATAGGATACTCAGATGGAAAAATATCGTTTTCTGTCTCTCTCTCTCTCTCTTCTTTTTCCCGGAAATTATAGACGTGCAGAAATTTTCTTTTTTCTCAATCTTGTTGAGAGTGTTCTAATCCTTCTTGATTGATACTGAAAAGGTTGGGAACAATCCCAGATTGATTTCAACCGTTGACGTTTCTCTACTCTCCTTTTCTTTTTATTAGGTTTTTTTTTATGATTTTCCTTTTTTTTTTCTTTTGATAAAAAAATTAGAGAATAATTATAAGATAATCGATAATAGAATTCGGTGAGCCAAAAACAAAATAGAATCTGTCAAGTTCTCAATGGTTGAATATAAAATTTTAATTCTTTTATAAAATAGAATACATAATATAAATATTGGTTTTGTCTCCTGTCCGGGAACCTATGTTGTGGCTTTTAACATTTTGATTTTTGAGTAAGAGTGACAATTTAGTGCCTCTGTATTCGTGTTAATTTATTTATTAATTATGTTAAAAAATATTAATTTAAATATAATTTATTTATTAAATGTATTAAAAATATTAACATAAATATGATCTATTTAATAATTATATTAATTTATATGAATTGTTTAAATTAATATATTTAATAAATAATTAATATAATAATAATTTATTTAACACGATCAATACATGTTTATTTATTAATTTATCTTTTACTTTAAAAAATAAATAAATTTTACGAATAACTATTAAAATTCATATTATTTGTATTTATTACGTTATATAAATATTCATGTTATATCACATATTATTATATTGTAGATGATACATATAGTTAATCGTGTCAATTCGTATCACTTCGTGTTATGAGGTCAACCATAACCCAACTTATTTATTAATCGTGTTAATCATATAAATCTGATTATGATTCAAACTCATTTATAGTAAACTTAAATTCACTAATTTTGTGTGAATTTTGAGTCCTGTTTAATTTGTCAACCTTAATTTTGAGAAGTTAACCATGTAATGCCATTTGTTGATCGGCTATTGAAGGATAACGTTTTTTATTTAAAGGATGACACCTGGGGATGATTGCAGTAGGGTGTCAGGTGGGAAGCTTATAATTTAGCCCTCATTCATTTCGCGGATTCGAGTTTTCAATTCGAGCTGAGATGTGACATTTTATAAGAGTTTTTCACTGTAGCATAAAAAGTTAGATGTGACATTTTCTGAGAGTTTTTTACTGTAAAAACCTAAAACTAAAAATTCGAATCGGTGAAATGAACGACACCTTAATGAGTTAAATAACATATAACGTGCATTTAATAATTCTAAAGAAAAAAATAAATAATTTATTTTGAGAATGCATAAATTTAAATATTTACTCTGTATTTTTTATAAATATTTTTTTGTTAGTGTAATTATTTGATTAAAAAGATTATGAATAAAAAATAAATAATAAAAATTTTGATTTTTACACTTTTAATAGGTGTTTATCAGGATTATTCAATCCCAAAACGTAAATTTAAGTAAAAAAAACTAATAAGTAGCAATTATAGCAATCGGGTTTAAATGTGCAAACTTTTTTTTGAAATAAGTGTACAACCAACATAATAACATGTACATTACTAAATTATGGTTGTCCATACTATTTAAATCTTACGACATCTTATTAAGTAACGAGTAAGAATAATAGTGGCAATGTATTTTTTCCAGTACAAGGCATATATTTAGGAGGGATTGTGAGTATTTATGTAGTTAAAGAACTAGATAATTAACCCTGGGTACAAGAAAATAAGATGAAAATACAACTCTAAATAATGTATACATATACAGAGTTAATAGACAATGGTTGAAGTTGTTGGTTTTTGAAACGATTTTAGATAAATTTTATAGCGAAAATGAATCAGTAAAGCCGGTAGTTTCGGACGCATCACGATGACACAATATGAAAACGACACAAGTAAACAGGTTTAGACCGCACATTTAATATGTGGGTAATTAATGGCTTGCCACGAATGACGCGAAAATAAATGAATTAGATTTGCACCAAGTCAATTAACACGCTTAATACATTTAATTATATGAACTTTAAACGTGTCAACACGACGATACGAATTTATCCTTTTCTGGCTCATATGTATCATAACCTAATAATATTGTGTTTGTGTGTGTATATATATATATATATATATATATATGATTTATAGATAATTTTATGAATATTGATATTATGGAGATTGGAGACTCTATGTTCTAATTCTCACGTGTTTATTTGATATAGTTATAATTAATATTTAGTAGTCAATAAATATTAGTTTCAAATGTAAAAGAAAATATTTTTTCAGCAATCATGTTAGTTGGGTTATAAACATGTTTTTATTCGCGTTAAGCTATCACGACCCGTTTAATAAATGACTAAACATGTTCGTGTGTCATGTCGTGTTACTCATGTAATAAAAGTTTTGTGTTTGTGTTTGGGGTCTTGGCACATTTATTAATTATATCATGTTATTTTTCACTATCGTGTCGTGTCATAATTATGTCAGCACGAACACGACACGCGAACATAAATTGTTTGCCCTACTTATCAGTGGGATTGTGTATAACAAAAATTTCATAAAACTCTTGTTTAAGGTGTAAAATATATTAATTTACACTACAACAATTAATAACATTAATTATTACCTTTGAAGCGATTAAGACTATAACTTGATTCTTTGACAGTCTAACACTTTAAGATCCTATAAACCTTAAATCTTTCTCATCTAATCTTAACTTCGAGAAGACTGTGTGTGGGCACAACCTAAAATAAATTGGGAATGATCACTCTACTAATTTCTCCACCACTAATCTCAAATTAACTCCAATTAAAATTCCTAACAAAAAGAAAAATTAACTCCACTTAAAATAATATTTACTATGTATTTATTAGTAATGTGACAAGGCGTAAAGCTATAAAAGACTGCTTCCAGTAAACATGGCGTTGTGAAGCGGCAAAGAGGGAAACGACAATGTATACTTCTGTCGTTCTTCTTTATGAACTTTTTTTTTTTTTGTTCTTATTTCAAAATTCTTTTTTTTAATGCCTTTTATCTTGCAGCCTATCTACCAGCACCTATCTTAAAAGTAAAGCCTGCTAAAGGAAGAAAGTATCGTAACATACTCATGCAATATCGACCCTTCATTTTTAATCGCACGGTTTACAGAAAGTGCCTGACTGGTCAGCAAAAAGACTTGCCTTATAAGAGACAATTTCTATAAATATTTCTAGCATAAGGAATATAAAATATAAATAATGAAATTATACAATAATTTGTCTCATATCTCTTGATCTAGTGGCATTGAGAGATTTGAGTGGAGTGAGATTTATATGAGGTTGCAAGTTCAATTTTATGTTGTATAAAAAAAAGTTATACTAAAATCTTTTTTTTAGTAAAATGCTTGTTTTGAAAATTATATAAAAAAAAAAATCTTCTAGGCCTCTAGACATCATAAAAAATACATGTTTTGACATTTTTTTAAAGAAAATTATTTTTTACGTAAATAATTATTTTTTATAAAAATAGTTAGGATTTTTGTTTGAGAGGGAAAAAATTTCATTACAAAAAAAAAAAAAAAAAAAAAAAAAAAAAAAACAAACACACAAAATACGAGTAGTCTCAATTATAGAGGATATTCACCCTAAATTAAAGACTAGATGTATCAGTGAAGACACCATAACACATGGACAAAAATAAATACCGAGACTCAATAAAAAAAGAACTACTCAGCACAGACTCATAAAACATAATCTAGGGCCTCGTTCACTTCGCTGATTCGAGTTTAGAATTCGAGTTGAGATGTGATTTTATGTGAGAGCTTTTTACTGTAGTAAAAAAGTTAGATGTGATTGTTTGTGAGAACTTTTTATTGTAGAAAAATTCAAATTTTAAACTCAAATCAGCGAAGTGAACGGGACCTAAACTCATTCAAAATCACAAACAATATTAACCTAATCAACTCAAATCAACCCCTCACGTAAAGAAGATATCAACATCACAGTATAGAAAAAGTTCTAATCAGACCAAACAACCCACACCACCTGTAAACATGAGGATTTTCCTTTTAGAGAATTAAGGCATCGTTCACTTCACCGATTTAAATTTAAAATTTGAGTTTTGCTACAGTAAAAAGCTCTTAAAACAGTTACATCTAACTTTTTTACTACAGTAAAAAGCTCTCACATAAAGTCACATCTCAACTCAAATTAAAAACTCAAATCAGCGAACTAAACGATCTCTCTCTCTTTTTTTTTTTTTTTTTTTTTTAAGAATTAAAGAAGACACCATGAACATTTGACTTTTTCACGGAGACATAACTGCTAGCTACTTTTTTTCAGCCAATAAAAACCCAGAACAATAGATATGTTATTCATTTTCCTTTTTTTTTCTGTGCTAATGTATTAAATTGAATTGGAAAAAAAGAGAAGATTTTATTAGCTGCTCGTCACCAATATTGAGTTAATAACTTGTTATTCATTTGGAAATTTATACACAAAATTTAGCCCTCTTTCCTCTCAAAATAAATTTAAAAAAAAGTTAGCCTCTTTTTTTTCCTTTTGAAACGGTTAGCCCTCTTTTCCTTTTGAAATATATTTAAAATTTAAAATAGACAAAGTAAAGAAATAGATATTTTGCATATATATATATATATCACGCTTTTGGAAATTTTTGAATTAAGGTGTCAAAAAATAAGTGTGAGTAAACACAACACTAAATTATAGATCAAATTATACAATAATTTAATAAAATTTGATAGAAAATACATTGATCTAGAATTTTGTTTTTATTTTGTCCTCTCTCTCTCTCTCTCTCTCTAAACTCAAAACTTTGGGGAAAGCGAGTAGTGTCCACTTCCTCCTCCTTTTTTTTTTTTTTTTTTTTTTTAAATTTAACTCCAAAAAGTCTCGAAGAATGTTTCAGATTCTTGTGTCCAAGCCTCAAACGACACCTTTTTGACCTAAACGACAACGAGGCCTTCCTTCCACTCCACCCCTCTCGCTCCTCCCTCTCTAGAGCCAAAGCCAAAGCAAGGCATGCTTTTCGCTGCCCACTTTCCTTCTTCTTCTTCTTCTTCTTCGTCTTCTTCTGCGTCATTTCTTCTCTCTCTCAGTCACATCCAACAGAGCCGTTGACTTTTATCGAGCCGTGGGTGTCAGTGAGACCGGGAAAAAAGAAAATGGAGCAATCTGTTCTCGACGACATAATCAATCGGCTTCTCGAAGTCCGAGGCCGCCCCGGAAAGCAGGTTCAGCTTTCCGAGTCGGAGATCCGCCAGCTTTGCGTCGTTTCTCGCGAGATTTTCTTGCAACAACCCAATTTGTTGGACCTCGAAGCACCCATCAAGATTTGCGGTATTTTATCCAAAGCTCACTCCTTTTCCGTATTCTCTTTCTTTCTTTTGTTGAACTCGATTGTGGGATTTTTTTTTTGTTCCTTGATTTTTTCCCCAAAATTCGTAGTTTACTTTTGAACCCCATGTATTTGAGCGGATGAACTTTTTCTAATTTTTTTTACCATTTTTTTTTTGCTCAATTAGGTCAATTTATGGTATTTTAGTTTATTTCTGAAGATTCTGAAAAAAGAAATTTTTTTCTTTTTACGGTTTTCTGTTCGAATTTTACCTGGCTGTGCTTTTGTGTTTGGTCTGATTTAGGTTTGAAAATGGTTGAATTCCTTAATTCATCTGACCGAGCTTTTAATCATTCATAGTACTTTTATTAATTGATGCAAAGTGGAACTAATTTTCAGACGAATTATTATCTCTGATAGGTCGATTGTTTGATTGCTATGTTCAAATACAAATCTTAAGGTCTAGTATGCTCATTTCTGGATATGATTGCGTAATCTGTTATCAGTTCAATTGTTGTTATTGATGGTATTTTGGTCTTTTCTTATCTTGTTGGTTGATGTTCAAATTCTATTTAATAATTGAACTTGTTATGCTTGTTTATATATTTTGGTAAAAACCATGCCATGGGCAATGGATGAATTGCATAACTTTTAAAGACTCTGTAGGTTTTGTGCATTATCAGGGTTGCTTAACATTTCAATGTATTGTAAACTGGAGTTTATTATGAATTTATTATTTTTCTCTTTTGCTGCGAGACTGTTATAGTAATTGGCTATGTTCTCTATCGAGTATCTGATATCGTATGGCTGGATCTCATCATCTTGTGTTGTTTACATGAGACATACATGATTTTATTAATTTTGATTGGAACCAAATGTGTATGAAAATCGTTAGTTACTTGCATGTATTGCTGTCACCTAAGTGGTGGTTTCACTCAATTAATTTGGTTGCTTTCTGATAAAATCTTTTGTCCGAAGGAATTCGATGTTAGCAATGCAAAAATCTTTAATCCCTTCTGGTTATGGCATTCCTATGGGAATGTTTAGGAGGTGGATCAATAGTCGGTGCCTTTAAGATTACTGTATGACTTTTTCGTATAATATATATCCACCTTGGATTAAGTGCTCTCCTCATTCAGGGTTGTAAGATTGCAATTTTGCTAGGTGTTAGTACTGATACAGCTCAGAAGATTTGTACCATTCTTTTGATGGGATGCCTATTTTAATGAGGGACATATAGTCAATTTTTCGTGAATCTTAACATAAGAGTGAGATTTCAGTTTGCTTTGATTCAATCCATCTTTTCTAACATAAAAGCGAGTCTCTTTCCTTGTTAATGAGCTTGGTTTTTGGTCTCCAGGTGACATACACGGTCAATATTCTGATCTTTTGAGGCTTTTCGAGTATGGTGGACTACCTCCTAAAGCCAATTACTTATTCTTGGGGGATTATGTGGATCGAGGCAAACAAAGTCTAGAGACAATTTGCCTTCTCCTTGCATATAAAATAAAATATCCTGAGAATTTTTTCCTTTTGAGGGGAAATCACGAATGTGCATCCATAAACCGCATCTATGGATTTTATGATGAGTGTAAGAGAAGATTCAACATAAGGCTCTGGAAAACGTTTACAGATTGTTTCAACTGCCTCCCGGTGGCAGCCCTGATTGATGAAAAGATCCTCTGTATGCATGGGGGGCTTTCTCCTGACCTGCAAAATTTGGATCAGATACGAAATCTACAGCGGCCGACTGATGTGCCAGATACGGGTTTGCTCTGTGATATTCTCTGGTCTGACCCGAGTAAAGATGTTCAAGGTTGGGGGATGAACGACAGGGGAGTTTCATATACGTTTGGTGCTGACAAGGTCACAGAGTTTCTTCAGAAGCATGATTTGGACCTCATTTGTCGTGCTCACCAGGTATAGTGGCTTTAGTAGTTTCGAGTTGCTATTTAAAAGTCTTCAGCCTTTAGTTTGGTTAATAATGTGCCTTTGGTATCCAAACATTTTGCTCTCAGATTGTCAACGTCATATTGGTTTACTTTTTTATATGGAAACTCATGCTATTTCGTGCCCATCCATTATGAGCTTCAATTCGTCAGCATTTCCTTCTTCCAAATTCCATGCCCCTGTTGGTATAGGGGCAGACATCAGCAATTGGCAGACATCAACAATTGTTAGCTCCACTGGCAACAGTATTTTGCACTGACTACAGAGGACATGATCTTGATATATATTTGTCGCCTTAAGATTAATGTTGTTGTACTTGTGTGTTACTATGTTGCAGGTTGTGGAGGATGGATATGAGTTCTTTGCGAACCGCCAACTTGTAACTATTTTTTCTGCACCCAATTACTGTGGGGAGTTCGATAATGCTGGTGCAATGATGAGTGTGGATGAGACACTAATGTGCTCTTTCCAAATACTAAAGCCATCAGATAAAAAGGTAAAGCTGAATTTTGGGAGCACAACCACAACTAAGCCTGGAAACCCTTCGACAGCGGCCAATGTTTTTGGGAGCACAACTACGGCCAAACCAGGAAACACTCCAGCAGGAGTCAAGGTAAATGCAACTTCTACTTCAAAAGTGATCGATTCTCGTTTATGGCATTAGACTCTCAATGCTTAGCTTTGTTGAGAATTTGGAGTACTCACTACAAAGGTTTTAACCTACAAAATAGTTAACATGTGTAATTGGCTCAAGTTCTATGTTTCTTTTCGGCTTGCAGTCCTTCCTTGGTACCAAGGTATGAGAATCAGGTTTATGGCAGCTTAGAGGATGTACTGTCAGCCCATTTAGCTCGCGGACACGTCCGGTTTATAACTAAAGTTTGATTCCCATTAAGCATTAATTTCACTTTTAATATGTTAAATTGTAAAATTCGAGAGGAAACTGTCTTTAGAAGCTAATGCAAAGCATGTTTCCCTGATATAAAATTGGGTTGGAGGTAGAAAAGAAGGGCTCTGTAATCAGTTTCTCTTCCTTCTTTGTACACTACTAGCTGCTATAATTTGTTGCTATGCGCTATTAAATTAAATATCACCTTGCTTTGGAACGATAAAGGAAGTGTCAAAAACACTAGTTGTGTATTATTTTCCTCAGTTAGAAAAAGGTCTCAGCAAAACTTCAATTGGAAAATAACATTTTCCAAGTAGTGCTTTTTGTTGACAGATTCTCATATCATGCCATGTTTTTTTAATTAATTTTTCTTGTGACACAAATTTTAGGTTATGTTCGTTCTGTTAGTTTGAATTACAACTTAAATTTTTACTACAGTGTTTTCTCTCGTAAAAATTTAACTTTTTCTACTACAGTGTTTCTCACACATGAATTTACTTTTTAACTCAAATTCTCATCTCGAACGAGGCATGTTTTCTGAACTTATAATTTTTTGGTCCTCATTTAACTGTAGATTATTTGATTTTAATTTGGTGACCAAAATCAGTTTGGGATCCACAGGGGAGTTTCGAAGGATGTCCTATGTACTATAGTTGTCGAATGATAGGAATAAGATCTCCTGTAAATTGAGAAATTATTCTTATAGGAGACATTATTATTCTCTTTTTCTTTCTCACACGTAAATGGTTAGCGAGCGTTTAATAATGGACCCCATGGCCTTCTAGACCTTTCAAGTCTTTAAATTAGCGAAGAATAATGATTGGTTCACTGGATATGGTGGACTGGCACATTGGATAATGGGTGCATATTCTGCACCCAACTAAAGAAAATTGCTTCCGCAAATTCTTCATCTTCCAAATATTGGTGGTACTTGATCACTATTTTGATAAGGTCCACCACAATAGTTTGTCGAGTTAATCACCCAAGAACCAGTTTATTTATTTATTTGATGGTTATAGCAGTTTAATTTGTTTGTTCCTTGTATGCCATTTGCTGCTTCACATGTCAACTTTTCTAGGAAACTCGTATACTTTCATATTTTTTTGGAAAGGAGACAAATACCCATTTAGAGTGCATGAGTTTAGATTTTTACTCTTTACTCTAAATTTATATCGTTTTAGTCAAATAACTATATGAATAATGCTAGAGACACTAACTCAAATCCCAACTTCGTTTATCAACTGATATGATATGTGAGTTATCGTATTTTTATTGGTAGATGCAATATCTTATTATTAATTAATGTGGCAATGTCTTCGACACTTATCAATATAAAAGTGACAACTCATATGTCATATCAGTTCGTACACAAAATTAGGGATTTTGGTTCGTGTTGATAGCATTATTCTAACTATATTAGTCAAAAAGATATTAATTAAAAGTAAGGGATAAAAAAAATTATTTTCTCTTTTTAAAAAAAAAAAAAAGGCTCTATAATTGGTTTTTAATACACAAAATTTCTAAGAGAAAATTGATGAACTTATTTAGAGTGTAATGGTCTAAATTTTTATCACTTATTTTTAATTAATATAATTATTTGACTAAAAATAATTTTAATTAAGAATAAGAAAAAAAAATTTAGAACCATACATTTTCAGGATATCTGTCTCCATTTCAACATCTACCAAAAGCCTACTCAAAATTATCATGTTGGAACAAAAAACATGCACAAGCGCAGAATCTCAGCCAATACTATTAAGATCAGGTCCTTATCGTACTGCTAGCTTAAAATAAAGGGTCATATATAAATACAATTTGAAAATGTATAGATTATGATTTTTATTTTTTACTCTTAATTTATAATTTTTTTAATTAAATAATTATATTAATAAAAGGATATTTATCAAAAATAAAGAGTAAAAGTAAAGGTCTAAATTTATGTATTCTTAACGGTAAATTCTTCCTTTTTTTCAAATAACAATGAAAGTGCTATCATCAAAGTAGCTTTTAGTTACTAAACTGTAATCATTTATTTATTAAATAGAGATTTTTTAATAGCGTATTAAAAAATACCCACCGATGGGATAATGCTTTTATTCCTTAGATCTTTGTTAAGTTCTATTAAAGTGTGTAGCATTTTATATAATATAATACGGTTTTCACTTAAAAGAGTTTAGAAACTGTATTTCAATTTGATCCCATGGCTGAAAATGGGTCCTATGAGTAGGGTATTTTTTTTCTTACACTACCAAATAACTCTTTTTCCCCTTGTAATCCACCACATAAGAGCTGTTCATATTAAAAAAAACAAAAAAAAAGCTTACGTTATGCTGAAACTTTGGATGGGCCGTCCGCGACTGTCCGAAATAACAGAACTTGTGCCCGTTGTCTAAGCCCGCTCGCTCGAACCCAACCTTCACCTTGAATGGGCTTCGGGCAGGTAAGACATGCCTGAAGCCTGTTCAAGCAGCCCGAGCCCGCCCGGGTTGTCTGAATATTTAATATATTTTTTTATTTTTTATTTTATTTTTTATAATATTGTATATATATTATATATAATATTGTTTATTAATTGTATTTGTATGTAAATAATTATTAAGTTATTTATTGTAAAAATTATATAAAAACTATAATTAAGATTAAAATCAACACACACTATTAACACAATTCAAAAAATTAATTTTGTTTATTAATTTTTAAATTTGTAATTCATGATTGTCGCATTAAAAATCTTACCAAGAAAACTCAATTAGGATGAAAACTTGGTAAGGAAAAAAGAGTGTAATCATTTTGTGACGAATTACAAATTTTAGATAATTACAAAGTCTAAATATACAATATTACAATTACAATGTCCAAAGTAAATAAATATTTACAAATTACAATTTAATTTGAAGCTGATGAATCGTCTTTAAAATTAAGGCCTCACTCATTTCACCGATTCGAGTTTTCAATTTTAGGTTTCTACAGTAAAAAGCTTTCAGAAAATATCACATCTTTTTTTTTTTTTTTTTTTTTGCTACAGTGAAAAGCTCTTAGAAAAATGTCACATCTAAGCTCGAATTGAAAATTCGAATCTGCGAAGTGAACGGAGCCTAAATGTTAATATATTAAATTTATCTATCCATTCTTAGCTTATTGGTGAAATTGTATCTAGTAAACGTTGATCGGCACGATTCCAATCCTTAATGCACACCAAAGCTTCAACAATATCCCTTTGCAATGCATTTTGGTGTTCCTCAAGTATTCGTCTGGTCGTATTGAAGGCTTGTTCGGATGAAACAGTAGAGACTGGGATCGAAAAAATATCAATTGTCAATCGAGTTAGGACTGGCCAAGTTAATGCTCGTGCCCTCCACCATTGAACTAAATCAAACACTTTGTTACTATCGTCGACTACTAAGCTCTCGTTGAGGTACACCATAAGCTCGTTGAAGCCATCGCCACCACCACCTCTTGATAAAGATTCACTCCCAACTTCTGTTTGAGTCTTCTTATTCTTCTTCAACCCAAAAACATTCATGAATGGATGCAAGTTTTCATCTTTTTGTTGCAGTTCTTGTACCACAAGCGGTGTTTCTAAATCTATTCTCATAAACACTATAGAGAGAATATTTTTCCTTTATTTTAGGAAATTGGTCAGACAATCAATTTTTAAAAATTCACCTAAGTTTTCTAAACCTTCTAATTTTAATCTATGATCAAAACTAGTACCAAAATCATACAATATTGGTAATTTAGACCAATATTTTTTAAATTTCTTTTCCATAGAAGAATATGAATTCCTAAAATTAGGTATGTCTGATGAGTGAGTTTTACTCGCTCATTTGGTATCGTTTTATACTTAATATCTAGTTGGTTTCGAGGTTTTTGTTAGTTTTTATGTGTGTTTTCGTTCTTTGTTTGAAGGATGGGTGGAAGTCTATGATTTGGAAGGTTTTGGACAAATTTCAGTGGAAAAAGATAGCAATCATAGCGCTTAGGCGCCAATCTGTAGCGCCTTGGCGCTGAGTTATACGGAATCAGCAATTTGGGCAGAACTATTGGCGCTTTGGCGCCAGTTTGTAGCGCCGCGGCGCTGAAATCCGGCAGAATTTGTGCATTGGGCAGAATGGCCAGCGCTTAGGCGCCCATTACAGCGCCCAGGAGTTTAACACAACAGCGCCGCAGCGTTGAAAACTCAGCGCCGCAGCGCTACGACGCGAGAAATTACGCGTTTTGAAGGCCAATCGCGAGAAAACTTACCCGTTTTGACCCTAATGCTCTGAAACATATAAATAGATGATTCTATGGCAATTGGAAGGGACTTTAGACTGTGGAATAACGGCTGGCTATTCAAGAGAAGACAAGGAGAATTGGGACGGAGAAGAAGAACGGCTCAAATTCAGAGACGGAGACGCGTCAATTCAACTCCAAACTAATTTTTTTCTTTCCAATGATTAAGACTTTGTTTAGGAATTTATTTTGTTTAGAGATGAACTACTTACTTTTTCTAAGGCTACGATGTAGCCGGATTATGAATGTTCGAATTCTCAATCTTCTTTTTAAGTAATTGATGTTTAATCCATATATGCTAAGTATTTCAATTTATTCTTAATGCTTGTGATTGTTTGGCCAACTATTACATGATTTTGTATTTGATTTGAGACTGAGAGGTGATAATTGAATAAGCTCTTAATTGAAATACCTGAGTTGTTCATATGATAGAGATATCTATGATGCTTGTGCAGTTCTTTTGAATTTCTTGCACTTAATGATTTTCAACAGGTTTAGAAGTCTGACAGAGATGTAGATTTTACTTGTTGGATTAATATTATTGCTGCTTGAGAAAGAATAATAATTGCTTTAGAGAAATTGCTGTCAGTATAGGATTGAATGTTAATTTTCTTAAATTATGGGAATTTGAACATGATTAATTTGGTGAAATCGGAAACCCTAGAATCTTAATCTATTGAATTTTCATCCATTGCTTAGCATTGTTTAATTTATTTAATTGTTTTAGTTTTGCTTTACTTAATTTTATAAACTCTCTTTTCAAGTATTCAAATAAATTTGGGGTTAATACAATTTCGGTAATTAGTAAACAACAATCCTCGTGGGACGATATTCTTATTCACTATTATATTACTTGATTGCGATAGCGTATACTTGCGTTACGATTTTTCACAACAATGTCCTAAATTCACAAATAAAATACTGATACTTAAAAGTCTACCTAAAGCTAAAAGTGATGTTGGATAATATGTTACACTAAGTTTCAAAGTAACTTCATGAAATCTGCCTACAAATTTATATAAAGTTTCG